TTGTATTGTATTGGTATGGTATTGGTATGGTGGGAGGGAGCCCAGACGAAACCTGATAATTAACAGGTGTTGCATGGTATTGGTATGGTATTGGTATGGTGTGGCTTGGTATGGTACCGGTATGGTATTGTATTGGTATGGTATGGCTTGGTATGGTTTGGTATGGTAGTGGTATGGTATGGTATTGGTATGGTAGGGCTTGGTATGGTATGGTATTGGTATGGTATTGGATTGGTATGGTATGGCTTGGTATGGCTTGGTATGGTATTGGTATGGTATGGTATTGGTATGGTATGGCTTGGTATGGTATGATGATGTGCGGGATGGTATCGTATGGTATGGTTTAGGAGAAGGACGCGGGAGGAGGAGGAGGAGGAGGAGGAGGAGAAGGAGAGGGTGTTCTGGGAAAACAAGAACCCCACTCAGGATGTGGGGAAAAAGAACCAAAACCGAGAGGATTTAGCACGCCAGGCATCCCTGTGATGAATCAACAGGGGGCGGCGGATCGAAGACGCCTACGGCGAATCACCGCCGCCCCCTGCCTTTTTGGAAGCGCCTATGTGGCCGAACGTTGAGGCCAGACCTGCCAAGCTATCGGACCACGTGTTCCCCGAATCGGTTTGGAAAGCCTTCGGGGAACACGGGGGCATCTTGAAGGTCATCTTGGCCGTCTTGGAGGCCTCTTGGGCAAGCTTTGGGCGATCTTTGGGGCTTTTTGGGCCGTCTCGGGCCAGCTTCGAGCCAACTTCGGCCATCTTGGTGGTTCCTGGCACGTCTGAAGCCGTCGGAAGCCGTTTGGGGGGCCTCTATGGGCCGACTTGGGGCCCGCTTGGAATGCTCCAGGGCCGTCTTGGAGGCCATCTTGGGCGTCTGGGAGGCCATCTTGGGCGTGTTGGAGGCCTCTTGGGCCCTCTTGGGGCCCTCTAGGGGCCATCTTGGAGGCCACTTGGGCCATCATGGGGCTCTCTTGGGGGCCTCTTGGGCGATCTTGGGGGCTTCTTGGGCCGTCTTGAGCCGTCGGAGAGCCGAAAAGGCGCAAATGCCAAAATCCGTCAAAAACCAATGGAAAATCAATGATTTTGCCCTCTTCGGACTCTCCTGGAGGACCTCTTGGAGGCCTCTTGGGCCGTCTGGGAGGCCTCTGGGGGGCCTCTTGGGCCGTCTTGGGCCGTCTTGGACTCTCTTGGGCCGTTTTGGAGGCCGTCTTGGACCATCTCGGGCGGACTTGGAGGCCATCTTGGGCCATCTTCGCGATTTTTTGAGGATGTCCCGAGCGAAACGGCCGTTTTTGGGCATTGACAGACGCATTTTGGGAAACGCGCGGGTGGCCGGCGGGACGGGCCGAAGCCCACTGGGGAGTTCTCTTTTAGTGTGGAAGCTTTGGGCGATCTTTGGGGCTTTTTGGGCCGTCTCGGGCCAGCTTCGAGCCAACTTCGGCCATCTTGGTGGGTTCCTGGCACGTCTGAAGCCGTCGGAAGCCGTTTGGGGGGCCTCTATGGGCCGACTTGGGGCCCGCTTGGAATGCTCCAGGGCCGTCTTGGAGGCCATCTTGGGCGTCTGGGAGGCCATCTTGGGCGTGTTGGAGGCCTCTTGGGCCCTCTTGGGGCCCTCTAGGGGCCATCTTGGAGGCCACTTGGGCCATCATGGGGCTCTCTGGGGGCCTCTTGGGCGATCTTGGGGGCTTCTTGGGCCGTCTTGAGCCGTCGGAGAGCCGAAAAGGCGCAAATGCCAAAATCCTTCAAAAACCAATGGAAAATCAATGATTTTGGCCTCTTCGGACTCTCCTGGAGGACCTCTTGGAGGCCTCTTGGGCCGTCTGGGAGGCCTCTGGGGGGCCTCTTGGGCCGTCTTGGGCCGTCTTGGACTCTCTTGGGCCGTTTTGGAGGCCGTCTTGGACCATCTCGGGCGGACTTGGAGGCCATCTTGGGCCATCTTCGCGATTTTTTGAGGATGTCCCGAGCGAAACGGCCGTTTTTGGGCATTGACAGATGGGTTTTGTGAGATTTACGGGTGGCCGGCGGGACGGGCCGAAGCCCACTGGGGAGTTCTTTTAGAAAAAGAACCAAAACCAAAACCTGAATCGTCCAGCACGCCGTGCACCCCTGCAAGCAGGGGGCGGCGGATCGAAGACGCCTACGGCGAATCACCGCCGCCCCCTGCCTTTTTGGAAGCGCCTATGTGGCCGAACGTTGAGGCCAGACCTGCCAAGCTATCGGACCACGTGTTCCCCGAATCGGTTTGGAAAGCCTTCGGGGAACACGTGGGCATCTTGAAGGTCATCTTGGCCGTCTTGGAGGCCTCTTGGGCAAGCTTTGGGCGATCTTTGGGGCTTTTTGGGCCGTCTCGGGCCAGCTTCGAGCCAACTTCGGCCATCTTGGTGGGTTCCTGGCACGTCTGAAGCCGTCGGAAGCCGTTTGGGGGGCCTCTATGGGCCGACTTGGGGCCCGCTTGGAATGCTCCAGGGCCGTCTTGGAGGCCATCTTGGGCGTCTGGAGGCCATCTTGGGCGTGTTGGAGGCCTCTTGGGCCCTCTTGGGGCCCTCTAGGGGCCATCTTGGAGGCCACTTGGGCCATCATGGGGCTCTCTTGGGGGCCTCTTGGGCGATCTTGGGGGCTTCTTGGGCCGTCTTGAGCCGTCGGAGAGCCGAAAAGGCGCAAATGCCAAAATCCTTCAAAACCAAGGGAAAATCAATGATTTTGGCCTCTTCGGACTCTCCTGGAGGACCTCTTGGAGGCCTCTTGGGCCGTCTGGGAGGCCTCTGGGGGGCCTCTTGGGCCGTCTTGGGCCGTCTTGGACTCTCTTGGGCCGTTTTGGAGGCCGTCTTGGACCATCTCGGGCGGACTTGGAGGCCATCTTGGGCCATCTTCGCGATTTTTTGAGGATGTCCCGAGCGAAACGGCCGTTTTTGGGCATTGACAGATGGGTTTTATGAGATTTACGGGTGGCCGGCGGGGCGGGCCGAAGCCCACTGGGGAGTTCTTTTAGAAAAAGAACCAAAACCAAAACCTGAATCGTCCAGCACGCCGTGCACCCCTGCAAGCAGGGGGCGGCGGATCGAAGACGCCTACGGCGAATCACCGCCGCCCCTTGCCTTTTTGGAAGCGCCTATGTGGCCGAACGTTGAGGCCAGACCTGCCAAGCTATCGGACCACGTGTTCCCCGAATCGGTTTGGAAAGCCTTCGGGGAACACGTGGGCATCTTGAAGGTCATCTTGGCCGTCTTGGAGGCCTCTTGGGCAAGCTTTGGGCGATCTTTGGGGCTTTTTGGGCCGTCTCGGGCCAGCTTCGAGCCAACTTCGGCCATCTTGGTGGGTTCCTGGCACGTCTGAAGCCGTCGGAAGCCGTTTGGGGGGCCTCTATGGGCCGACTTGGGGCCCGCTTGGAATGCTCCAGGGCCGTCTTGGAGGCCATCTTGGGCGTCTGGGAGGCCATCTTGGGCGTGTTGGAGGCCTCTTGGGCCCTCTTGGGGCCCTCTAGGGGCCATCTTGGAGGCCACTTGGGCCATCATGGGGCTCTCTTGGGGGCCTCTTGGGCGATCTTGGGGGCTTCTTGGGCCGTCTTGAGCCGTCGGAGAGCCGAAAAGGCGCAAATGCCAAAATCCTTCAAAAACCAAGGGAAAATCAATGATTTTGGCCTCTTCGGACTCTCCTGGAGGACCTCTTGGAGGCCTCTTGGGCCGTCTGGGAGGCCTCTGGGGGGCCTCTTGGGCCGTCTTGGGCCGTCTTGGACTCTCTTGGGCCGTTTTGGAGGCCGTCTTGGACCATCTCGGGCGGACTTGGAGGCCATCTTGGGCCATCTTCGCGATTTTTTGAGGATGTCCCGAGCGAAACGGCCGTTTTTGGGCATTGACAGATGGATTTTGGGCAATTTGCGGGTGGCCGGCGGGACGGGCCGAAGCCCACTGGGGAGTTCTTTTAGAAAAAGAACCAAAACCAAAACCTGAAACGTCCAGCACGCCGTGCACCCCTGCAAGCAGGGGGCGGCGGATCTAGTGGCCTTCGGCCCATCCCGCCACCGTGCCTGGGTTGTGGTTCAGAGGCCTCTTGGATGTTCGTTTGGATCTCGTGAGAAGCATCTCGGGGGCCTGCCCGAGGCAGTTTGAGGCCTCTGGTTGGCTGTTCTGGGGCCTCTTGGGGCCTCTTTTGGGCCTCTTGGGGGTCTCTTGACGGCCTCTTGGGGCCCCTTGAGGGCCTCTTGGGGCCTCCCGGGGGCCTCTTGGGGCGGAAAGCTAGAGTTTTCGGTTCGTCGAGGCCCTCTCGGGCCGTTAGGGCCCTCTTGGGCCGTCTTGGGGCCTTATTGGGGGCCAATTGAGCGGTCTTGGGGCGGTCTTGGGGGCCTCCTGGGCCGTGTTCGAGCGTCGGGAGCCCGAAAAGGCGAGAACAAACTCATGAGAATCAGCGATTTTGGTGGGCCCTCTTGGGAGGTCTCCTCGAAGCCTCTTGGGGCGTCTTGGAGGCATCTTGGGCCGTCTGGGGGCCATCTTGGGCGTCTTGGGACGACGTTTCGGCGACTCGGGGCCCTATTGGACCGTCTTGGAGGTCTCTTGGGGCCCCTGTGGCCTGTTTTGAGGCCCTCGATGCCCCCCCCTCCCCCGTCAGAATATCTGGAGTACAGTGCCCCCCCCGGCCGGCTCGGCCGGCCCGGGTAGATCCCCCCCCCCTTCCAAATCGACCTGACCAGGCTCCCGGGGGAGGGGTTCGGGGAGGGGGAAGCAGCTCACACGCCGATGAACCCCAAGGGGTTTGAGAGCCCTCTTCTCGAGAAGTTGGGCCAGCGTTTCTTGAGACACGTGCCGGGAAGCTGGCCCAGTTTCTTGAACACGCTCATCCTTCCAGCGTTGCAACGGGAATTGGCCCAGGTTTGTTTCAAGAAACTTAGGGAAGCTGGCCCAGATTTCTGAAACCATATTTTTCTGGATCGTACTGTCGGCTGCAAGGCCGAGCCCCCCCCCCCCCGCCTGTGGCGGAGAGAATCGAGAGCCCCCACGACGCAGTCTCCGCAGCCCTGCTGGCCCAAGCCGACCAGCATCTCGGCTGCCAAGCAGGCCTCCCGTCGACGCTGCCGCGCTCCCCCCTCCCCAGACTCCCGACGTCGTGATCTTTCCATAACGTCGACCCCACGATCATAAAGTCCCCCCCCCCTAAGTAGTTTGAGTTTTTAATCCTCGGCCTCGACGGTTTTCAAATAGAGGCGGAGGGCGCGGAGGCCGAACTTCATTATCACGGGGAAAGTTCGCCATCACGGGGAAAGTTCGCCATTGACGTCGACCCCTAGAGGTCTCGGCCCATTCCCCGGGGCCAGCTTCTCATCCCGCGCCGTTTTTTTTTCATGGTCCGGAGGCCCGGTAGCCCCCAAGAGGCCGAGAATCGTGGAAAGCCTCCCGCCGTGACTTTTCCACGGCCCGAGGTCGGAGGGCACCAACTATACACCAACACCGATCTTGGCCCAGGGTGATCCTGGCCAGGATCGGTGTTGGTGTATAGTTGGTGCCTTCCTACGAGGGCGTCTGGGTCTGAGGGTCCCCGCGGCCCAAACCCGCTCAGAAGTCTGCCCCTCGACCTCTCCTGGGGTCTGCCCGGCCCGTACGCTTCGAGGCAGGAGGCCCCGGCCGTGGCGGCGAGGAGAGCGCCCCGGAGGCCCCGAGCATGCAGAACGAGCATGGCACGCCGGAGAGGGCCGCCGTGCGGCCTCGGCCGGCGGCCTCCCCTGAGGCTCGACGTCGCGAGCTCACTGCAACATACACCTTAGGCGATGCTTAAGAAAACCTAAATTTTCGGCCAGAGTCTCGATTATTCTTAATGTTTCCATGTAAATCCTAAGATTTTGATAGAAATCTTGGGTTTTTGTTCAAGATCTGAGACTATGAATTTCTTAACCCAAGATTTCTTAAGCATTTCTCAGGGTGTACGCTTGAGGGAAGCGGCTAGTGGGTACAGTCGAGGCGTTGACCTAAGGAACCCTAAATAAGGAGCGAGGCCCCTTTTTCCCATGAGTTCAACCTCGATCTCGTAGGGAAAACCCAGGACAACCCGAGGCAAACTTTGAGACAATCGAGGAACACGGAGCCCCTCCCCAACGAAAAGGGTTCCTTCTTCAGGGCCCCGACTGTACTCCCCCCCTCTCCCCCAGATTCGAAGTTCGCGCGCGCGGGGGAGACTGCGGTCGAAGTGCAACTCATTCAGCCCACCGCCAGCATTGATCAGGAGGGGCATCGACAGATGACTGTGGCACGAGTGGTCGCTCATTTCTTCCAAGGCCTGCAGTGACAAAACACAACGAAAGCTCTGGACCCCATCTTGCTGGGCCGGTTTCCGAGCCAGATCGATCTGTGAGGGTCCCGGGGCCCGACATGATGCGAGAACGCCCGACTCGGAAAAATTGAGACGCCAGGATCCCCCACTCGGCGACTACAGCGGGTGTGGTTCCGCCGGGGTCTGCTTTGAGATCTGCGCCGTTGGGGCCATGGGGGGCCCTGCGTCGCCCTCCCCGGGGCCCCCCCCCTGGGGCGCGCCGGAGAGAGCTCCGTCGAGGTCCCCACCCGCCCCCAGGAGGAGGAGGAGGAGGAGGAGGAGGAGGAGGAGGAGGAGGAGGAGGAGGAGGAGGAGGAGGAGGAGGAGGAGGAGGAGGAGGAGGAGGAGGGAGGAGGAGGAGGAGGAGGGAGGTGCAGGCCGCAGCCCCTGCAGACCACGCCCTTCGCCGTCGCCCACCCGTCCTCGCCCATGCCCCGCGCCGACCGGGCGGCGCCCCGCCGCCCGCGGCGCGCACGCGCCGCGGCCGCGGCCGCCCTCGTGGCCGCCGCCGGGGGCGTGCTGGCGTTCGCGCCAGCGGGGGCCGCGTCCCGGCCTGCGGCGGCCGAGGCCCTGCCCTTGCCCAGCCGGGCGGCTGCAGCGGGGGAGGGATCCTCCTCCTCCTCCTCCTCCTCCTCCTCCTCCTCCTCCTCCTTCGTCCTCTCCTCCTCCTCCTCCCGCCCTGTGGCGTTGCTGCGTGGCAGGGGGGCGCTGCCTGGGGGGGGCGGCGGAGACACGTGCACCGCTCGTGCCCCTTTGTGGGCCTCAGAGGGGGCCCCTTCAGGGCCCCCCCTCGGGGACAAGGGAGGTGGGCCTTTCTTCTTCACCCCCACCCCCACCCATCGCCATCACACGCAGGGGAGCAAGCAGTAGCAATATAAACTCAGGGATCCGCGCGGATTTCTCGGATCGGCGGCGCTGGAGCCCCCTGGCGTCGCCTCCGGCGCCGCCCCAGGCGCGCTCCGCGCGCCAGGGAGAGATGTCTAGCGCCGATCGGACCTCTGAGTTTGTATGCTTATGCCCTTGTCTGATCCCATAAGTGTGGTGACGATGAGTGGGCTGGAGGGTGATGAAATTAACACCTTTTGTGTCCTAGAGAGGCCCTGAAGTGGCCTTCTAGGGCTCAAACTGTGCACGTTTTTTCGTCCCCCGATCTATCCCCCCCCCCTTAAACAACGCCCAAGGGTGCGAGGTCACTGATCTAGGCCTCCCAAATGGGTCTGAGCAGATGGGGTCGGAGGATGGTGCCGCATCGCCGATGCATCGGCGCTGCGGCTCGGTGTGGAGCCCGATCTCCTCGGTTCCGAACCCGCCAATGCATCGCCGATGCATCGACGATGCGGCTCGATCCTCTGACTCTGTTTGCTCGGACCCCACTTGGGAGGCCTCCCATCGATCGGGGGCAAGGGGCAAAGGGGGGGAGGGGCTCCGATGCCCACAGCCAGTGCCAGCTTCCCGAGCGGGCGCGCCAACTGGGCTGCCGAGCAGATCGGCCCGCGCCTGCTCTGGCAGGCTGGCGGCGAGAGGGCCCGAGGGCAGGGGGGCGTGCGCTGGGCCTGTCCTGTCCGGAAGCTCTGGCCAGCTCTCAGGCCGTGCTTCCGCCCCAGACGTGCTCGAGTCGTGGCGAAAATCACGACGCAGGGTTTCTTGAAGCTTTGGGCCTCCAGGGGCAATCACGACGCAAGGTTTCTTGAAGCTTTGGGCCTCTAGGGGCCCTCACCGAGCCCCGGGGGCCCTCGCCGAGTCCCGAGGCCGGCCGGCCCGGGGGAAAGGGTCGGGACTTCCGGGGGCCCAGCAGGGGAACGGTCAGGACATCGCATGTCTGGGGAGGGGGGCGGCGCGGGTGGCGGCAGTGGGGCGCTACGCGCGGCAGGTGGGGCACTGCGCGCGGCAGTGGGGCAGGTGGGACACTGCGCCCTGCAGGTGGGGCACTGTGCACTGCGGTGGGGCGCTGCGCGCTTCAGGCGGGTGGGCGGCAGTGGAGGCACTGCGCGCGCGTCCAGGGGCCTCAGCTCTCGCCCGTGTCTCCGGCGAGGCTCCCGGGCGAGGGCGCGCGGTGCCCCCCCCCCCCCGCGCTCCCCGCCCCCATGGGCTATGCTCCCCCCCTGTTGCCTCCCCCCCGCCCGCAGGCCCGGCCGAGCGAGGCGCAGCTGGAGGAGGCCGCGGCGGCGGAGTCCCGGGCCTTCGGGTTCGGGGCCGGCGCGGTTGGACAGAGGGAGGGCAAACGGCTCCTCGGCGCACCTTCCGGGGGTGGGGAGGGCATTCTGCCACGCCGTCTCTGTGCACGACCCAACAGTCCATAGTCATCTGGTTTCTGCTCTTGTTGTTGTTTCTTCCTTCTTCTGCCTCCCCCTGCTGGTTTCCCCGGTGTGGTGTACTAGGAATTCGGGGCATATTCCTACCAGTTGCCACGTACTGCGCTACATTTCTTTGATTGCTGTTGTGTGATGCCTGGTTGTATGAATGATCATGAATGATCTGTCGGATCGTGAGGGGAAACGCACGCAACGCTTTAATCCATCTGCCTTGGCATCGTTGTTACGCTGTTTTTCGCCTCCCTTGCCCTTTCCTCCCTCCTGTGTTTGACGATGTTCAGACGTCGCGGGCAGCTGACGTCCCAGCTGGTGATGTGTCGCGACACTGCTTGGGGTCGCTGTTTCGGTCTGGGCGGCACAGGGCTCCATGCAGTCGGCCCGGATTCGTAGGTCGACCCTGCCAGCTCGAGGGCACCCTTGTGTCCTGTGCCTCGCGACACGTGCCTCCTACACCCCCCATGTCGGGCCGGGCGAAAGGGGGGGGCTGGGAAAGGGGGGGTTACGAAATTTGCTGCATCCAGCTGGTTTCGGCCCCACCGAGGGGCCCATTCCTCGATACATCGTCGCCTCTGGCGCCGGGAGGCGCCGGGAAAATCAGCTACGCGAGCTGATTCTCAACCCCCCCCCTTTGCTATCCCCCCCTTTCGCCCGACCCGACCATGGCGATGCGGCCCTCAGAAGGGTCCTGTGTCCTCTCGCGCGTCCTGTCCTATCACTGCCGACTGTGGCGCAGCACATCGGCCTTCACCCCTTTGGATTGGGGTCGCGGCTCTGCTCCGCGACCTCCTTTCCCCTGGCTCCTCGTGATGCGCACGGCACGCGCGCGCGAGTCACAGGGCCCGCGGGCCAGCCCCGACACACGCCGATGTTGCGATGTTACGTTGCATCTTCGGGGGACCTCGCCTGTCCCCAAAATTGGTGTCTTTTCTTGTGTCCGACGCATGCTTGATGCGGACTCGACGCGGACTTGGCATGGATTCGACGCGGATTCGACACAGATTTTCGACACGGATCCGACGAGTCCGACATGGATTCGACACGGATTCGACGCGGACAGGGCCACGACGGGACAGACAAGGTCCCCTGAGGATGCAACATAACGCAGGGAACTTTTCTGCCGCGCCGTCTCGGGCAGACCACTCTTCGGCGCACCCTCTCGCCGGGGATGCTGCCGCCTGGTCCTTCAGGAGTCCCAGTGAGGTTTACTGGCCCTTGCTTCATCCCTCGGGGCTGGACCCAGACGGTGTTTTTGGTGATTTCGTGGGCCGTTTTCGTTTCGATTTCGTTCTGCGGTGCAGGCGGAGTCGAGACAAAAGCGAGGGACAACGAAACCAAAACGAAGACGAAGAACACCGTTTAGGTTCAGCCCTGCCATCTCTTCCCCCTGGTCCTCATCCCTCATGCATCTTTCAATTGAGCCCCGCATGCGGGTTCCTCCTGAGGCAGCACACTCAAGGGATGGCGTGGACGACTGGGATCTGGCGCGGCCGCTTCTGGGAGCAAGCCCGATTTTGGACAGAAGCCCGAACTCGTCTGGAATGTTTGTGAAATCCTTCCGAGGAGCGATTCCCGACACGGCCAGAGCGGATGAGGAGAGGGTAGATTTCTCCTACAGCCCGAATGCGTTCGACGACAAGGTTTTTTCTGCAGCACCTCTCAGCTTCCAGCAGCTGTGCGACCTCTCGGAGATGCTGGAGTGGATCGCACTCGGGATGTCAGTGGCTGTTGTTGTGGCTCTCTTCCGGTTCGGCCTGGACGGGAGTGCAGCAAGGCTCATTGGTACCGTCCGCTCAAGTGTCATTTGCGCTGCAGTTTGCGTCGTGGTCGATATACTGTTAGTAGGAGCTGCTGGTGGCCGTCCACTGCCAGGCCTGTTCCAGTCTTACTACTGAGCGGCTTGCAACTGACCAGTGCCCGAGCAAGGAGAACTTGCTGACCCGTGGCGCTGCTCATGGTATGCTTGTAGGCGCGACCCGAAGGGTTCCCTGACTGACCAGGACGTGGACAACGCGAGAGGGATGAGGCAGGTACATAGGGGGTCCAGGATAGGTTAGGACGCGGCGACGTGATAGTACCGTCCGCTCCGGGTGGCGTGTCAAACTAGTTTGAATATTTCTGTTGTTTGAATGTTTTTTTGTCCCGCGATGCGCCCCCCTATCTTTACCTTTCCCAGTATATTTCTCGTTCTTATTCTCTTTCTCTTTCTCTATTTCTCTACCTCTCTGCGCATGCGCGTTGCTCTGTGTACGCCTTCCTTCTTTCTACGTCCCGCCCTTTTAGGGGTCACCCTCTCGGCTTGATTGGGCCCCCGATTTTTCTTGAGAGATTCTTCTTTGGGCTGTCGATAATTTCGCAGGAGTTCTTCGAAATAGCTAGTCCATACTTTAGATGATGCTGGCAAGCGATTCTTTTGAGTTCAACCTATCAATCGGGATCCTGAAACATCAACTTTCTGGCAAACTGGCTTCTCATACTTTGCCTCTCCCTCTCCATAACTCCCTGCGGCGGACCTGCCGAATTCGGCAGGATCTTTCCGCCCGTGTGCTCTAGTGCCCGACAGAAGGCCGCACGATGCAGCCCAGGCTGCGTTGTGAGCTTCGAAGCTGCTTCCGCGAGGCTTTCGGCTGGTCCGAGAGGTTGGCTTTCCTTTGCAAGCGGCGCTGAAGCTGGCGGCAGCACGCTGACTATTGCGAATCGAATCGAACGTGCCAGGTTACAGAGGAGGGGGGGAAGAGGGCTTGGGAGAAGAGGGATGCCCAGAGGAGGCGAGGGAGCAGGAGAAGAGAGAGAATGGCTGGAGGACGGGGAAGACGCACGAGGAGGGAGAGGCGATGGAGGCTCAGATGCGTGCGCCACGACCAGGCCTCGAACTGCGAGCGCAGTCTACGGCAGACGCCGCGAGTAAGGAATTGCCTTCTCAGGCGATTGCCTCGGGGAGCTCCCCAACCTCCCTGCCCGGAAGACGGCTGCACGTGGCGGGCTCTGGCAGCCCGGAGCCCGAAGAGGCTGTCCTCTCCGAGGGGCGCGTCTTCTGCTTCCGCCGGCCTTCCGCCGGAGGAGCCGCCCCCGTTTTTCGGGCCGGACGAAAGGGGGGGGGATTGGGAAAGGGGGGGTTACGAAATTTGCTGCATGCGGCTGGTTTCGGCCTCACCGAGGGGCCCATTCCTCGATACATGGCCGCCTCCGGCGCTGGGAGGCGCCGGGAAAAGCAGCTGCGCGAGCTGATTCTCCCCCCCCACCTTTGCTATCCCCCCCTTTCGCCCGATCCGAGTTCTCCCTCCGCCAGCTTCCGCCGACCTTCGCCGCCCTCTCGTGCGGGGACTGGGTGCCGGCGGTAAGCCGTCAACCAGGTTGCCGCCAGGGCCCTCGTATAGAGCTCTTGACGCGCAGAGCGCTGAGAAAATACGACGAGAAGGCTTGCCTGAATATCAGCTTGGAAACTCGAGACATGTATTTTTTCGGAGGAGCCGCCCCCGTTTTTCCTCCGCCGGCTTCCGCCGACCTCCGCCGCCCTTCTCGCGCGGGGACCGTGCCCGGACGGCGCGGGCGTCTGCGCGCCGAGCGGGGGCGGCACGTGGGCGCCTCTCGCGAGAGGCTCCCGGGAAGAGCGCCCGGCCGGCCCTCCGAGCCACGGCGGGCCCCTCGAAGCGGCACGAAGCACTCCGCTGTCAAGCAGAGCGGCGCAGCGTCCTGGCTCGCCTGTAGCCCTGCCAAGCAATGTTCGAAGAACCTTTTCTGTGGTTTCCACGAACTGTTCTTAGAACATTTCTGGCCTTTTTTTTTTTTTTTTTTTTTTTTTTTTTTTTTTTTTTTTTTTTTTTTTTTTTTTTTTTTTTTTTTGAAAAATTCACATTGGGTTTATGTTCTAAGAACATTGTTTGTGTTCTTAGAACATTTTTGGGGTTCTAAGAGAATTTCGTGGTATGACTAGGAAAGCCGGGACGGTCGGTCCCTGCCTGCTCAACATTGGGAAGCCTTTCTGTGAGTCCCCCAAGAGTCCTTACGAACCCTGAGGAGTCCAGAGGGATGTTAAGCGAGCCTCGCAGATCCCGAGGAAGCCGTAGAGCCCTCGCGCCACGCGCGCAGGGCCCGTGGGGTCCCGCGCTGGGAATCGGAAGGGATCCTTAGGCATCCTTGCCATTTGCGGGGTATCGATTCCCTTTTCGGCGGGACTGCGAATCGATTCTTTCTGGGGGCGGTGACAAGCACAACAAACCGAAGGAACAACGCGGACTAACGTAAAGCACCAGATGCGAATGGCAGAAACACATCAGACACGAAGGACAAACAATACACCAACGAAATCACTGGTTCCACTACATACTTCACCGTTTTATTGTCTAGTGTTTTTCTTTTCTCCTCGTTCTCTCCCTTCCTTTCCGCCCCCCCATCCCCCCGTTGTACATTCTCTGGAAGGCAAGGCGGTGACTTATTTCAGAGGGGGCGACGGTGAGGAGGGGGAGAATCAAGGGTGTGAGCAGAAGGGGGGAGGGCCCAGGATGAGGGATAGCGAAGAGGATTCTAATAACAAAGTGGATACTGGTGGTGCTGGGGAGGAGGAGGAAGAGGAGGAGGAGGAGGAGGAGGAGGACCAGGAGGAGGAGCAGGAGGAGGAGAAGAGGGAGGAGGAGGATGAGGAGGCAAAGGAGGAGGAGTTGGAGGAGGAGGCGGAGGAGGAGAGGAGGAGGAGGAGGAGGAGGAGGAGGGGGAGGCGGAGGAGGAGGATGATGAGGAGGAGGAGACGGAGGAGGAGGAGCGAGGGAAAGGATGTGGAGGGGGAGGAACATGATGGGGTGAGCCTCGTCCTCCTCCCCCTTTCTGTCCCTCGCTCTCCTCCTCGCCCCCCTGCATCCCTCTTCCAGCTGCCCGTGCCTCCCTCCTCCTCCTCCTCCTCCTCCTCCTCCTCCTCGCCGTTCTCCTCCCGCGCCCTCTTCCCTTCTCCTTCTGCTCCTCCCTGTGCGTCCCCATCCAATCGCCTCATCCGAGAGAATTCGCCGCTCTGCCCTCCAGAGGGTGAGAGGCGGGGTGAGGGAGAGTGGGAAGGGGCGCTGGGAACGATGAGAGAAGGGACGATGGGGCAGTTGAGCGTTGGATTGAGTCATGCAGTCTGGATTGTTTGTTTTTGGTGTAGGTTGTCTTGCCTTTCCAGCCTTCTGGCTTTGGCTTTTTTCGTTTGTTTTTTTTTCAGTTGTCCTTAAGCCCTCGCTTGGCAGAGAGAGAGAGAGAGACACCGATAAAGGGAGAGAGAGAGAGAGAGAGAAACTGGACACGAAGACGGCGGTTCCGTCACAGCTGGCAATCGCAGGTGCCAGGGCCGCAAGAGCACGCTTAGCGTTGGTGCCCACCTTGGTGTGCGGGGGACGTTGGAAACACCCCCCCCCGGCGCAAAGCGACTGGAGAAGCAGGCGGGGTGCTGAGCAGGCGATGCGCCACGTCTCTCGGCGCCCCGCGGTGGATGGGCCCAGGTCGGCAACGCCCCGGTTGGCGGCCAGGGAACAAGGGCTCGGCCGCTATGCGGCTTGTGGAAACGGGGCGTCCCCCGTCCCCGCAGCCAGGCACTGATGCCGCGTGGCCGCGAGAGAGAAAGAGAGAGAGAGAGAGAGCGAGAGACATATATATATATATATATATCTAGGTATAACGGTCGAGAGAAAGAGGGAGAGTGAGTGAGTGAGTGAGTGAGTGAGTGAGTGAGTGAGTGAGTGAGTGAGTGTGAGAGAGAGAGAGAGAGAGAGAGACAGCGAGAGTAAGGAATATGAGTAGTGATGGTATCAATGTGTAAAAAGGGAGAGAGACAGAGAGAGAGAGAGAGAGTGAGGGAGAGGGATGTAGAGAGAGAGAGAGAGAGAGAGGGAGATAGAGAGAGCGAGACAGAGAGCGATATCAGTACATAGAGAGAGAGAGAGAGAGAGAGAGAGAGAGAGAGAGAGAAAGAGAGAGAGAGAAAGAGATCGAGAGACAGAGACGGGGAGAGGCAGCGAGAGGGAGAGAGAGAGAGAGAGGGAGAGAGGGAGAGAGGGGGAGGGAGAGAGAGGGATACATCTAGAGAGAGCGATAGAGAGAGAGAGAGAGAGAGGGAGTCAGAACGAGAGAGAAAAAGAGAGAGAGAGAGAGAGAAAGAGAGAGAGAGAGAGAGGGCGAGAGCAAGATACAGAGGGAGAGAGAGAGAGGGAGAGAAACGAGAGAGAAACAAGAGAGAGAGAGAGAGAGAGCGAGCAACACACCTCACACAACAGAGGAGAAAGAGTGAGAGGGTTGATGGGGAGCTGGATCAGGAGAAAGGGTGGTGGTGGTGGTGGTGCTACTACCACTATTCCAATTTTGCTTTCAGCGCGCATCCACGTGGGTGTTTGTGGCCAAGATTTCGGGGCAAGAGTGCGAGCCCTGAAGAGGTTGCCACGAGCTTTAAAGCCAAACCAAGTCTAGACCCTTTGCTTAACCCCTCCGAGCCCATCCAGAAACGATGCCCAGACGATCTGCCCTGATCATGGATGTGGAGGAGCATCATGTGGAACAAAGGGCTGGGTAAGACGTCGTACCCCAAGAGGAGGAGGATGAAGGAGGAACCAGAGGACCAGGAGCAGGACGAGCAGGAGGAGTGGGGAGAGGGGGATACAGGGGGAGGAGGGAGGAGGAAGGACAAGGATTAGGCGAATGGCTGCATAATGCCTTCGGGAGTCTCTTCGGATGTCGTTTGAGAGCTTCTTGGAGTCCTCTTCGGGCGTCTTGGAGGTTTCTTGGCCGTTCCTGGGACCTCTTGTGGTGTCTCGGGTGCCTCTGGGGGGGCCTCTTGGGGCCTCTTGGGGGCCTCTTGGGTGCCCCTTGGAGGCATCTTGGGGGTGTCCTGGGGGCCCCTTGGGAGCCTCTTGGGGCCCACTGGGCACCTCTTGGGGCCCTCGTGGGGCACCCTTGGGAGCCATCTCGAGGCCATCTTTGGAGGAGATCGATCACAGGACGGTGCCAAACTACGCCCCTCCCCCCCAGGAGGCCAACATGTGGCCAACACCTTAGTTCAATCAGAACTGTTGGCCTTCTCGCCGAGGCCTCTTTGGGCTTCTCGGGTGCCTCCTCGGGGTCGTGTCGTGGGCCTCTTCGGGGTCTCTTTGGGAGCCTGTTGGGGGCCTCTTGGGGCCTCTTGGGGCATCCTGGGACTTCTTGGGGGGCCTCCTTGGGAGCCTCGAGGGCCATCTTGGGTCATCTAG